CCACAAGTCTTAAAGTTGCCAAGTTTGGGGACCTCTGGAATAGAGCAGGGGTCCCCAACCACCGGGCCGCGGACCGGTACCGGTCCGTGGAACATTTCCTACCGGGCCGCCGGTTTGCTGGGCGCCGCCATCTTGTTTGACGAGAAAGTGCTTCCGGGTGAGCTTTTCCGGTTGGAAAGCGGCGTTTGGGTGCTGAAAGAATCCTCGCGCCTTAGTTTCATCGAAGGGGGGGTGGGCTTTGAACGAAACTAAGACGCGAGGATTCTTTCAGCACCCAAGGCAAGGCGAGCCGAGCGACTGTCCCGAAGCCGTCCCGAAGCGAAGCCCATCGACAAAGGTACAAAGGAGGAGTTGAAGGTGGCGGGGAGAAGCGGGGGACGGCTGGCTGTCCGGTCGCTCGGCTTGCCTTGCCTTGTCATGTGTGCTGATGCCGGTACCGGGCCGCGGATCATTTTGTGATGCCAGTACCGGGCCGTGGCACAGAAAAGGTTGGGGGCCACTGGAATAGAGAGCATGCTGGCTAGGGAATTCTGGGAGTTGAACTCCACAAGTCTTAAAGTTGCCAAGTTTGGGGACCCCTGCTCTAAATCGGCCTCTGTCAAACTTGACCAACTTTTAACACGTGTGAACTTCAACTCCCATAATTCCCCAGCCAGCCATGGGTTCACTTATGGGTGAGGAAAACCTCCCCCGGTGGCTGCTGTGTGATCATTTGTTTGTTTTGCAGGCATTAAGAAGAAATGTACCAAACGCTGGAAATGAACTCTCAAGCAATTGAACCACTGTGTGTGTGGCGATCGCAGGTTTTTTTCTAATTTATTTCTATACTTCTCTTCAATTCAGGTGGAGAAACCAGGTATGCTATGAAACTAGAGTGGATAAACCACAGTGCCTTCAATCCAAAGTGTGGTTGATAACTCCTAATAGTTTGTGTTCGCACACTGCACCTAGGAATTGTGGGTTTCAAAGTGTCAATTTATTGTGGTAGTTTGATTCATTTAGTGATCATCTGAAATTGCAGTGGCACTGAAAAAAAGTTACTTACAACCAATCCTTGCATTTAACAACCATTGCAGCGTCCTCAGCATCATGTAATCGGAAATGGGATCCCTGATTTGTTTCAAACTAGTTGAACATGTTGGAAAGTTTTTATTTTTTTATTTTTTATTGTACGCTGCCCAGGGTCACTTTTTCATGAGAAGGTCACCCATACAAATTGGATGGATGGATAAATAAACACAGAAATATTCCTTTCTGTTGTATATAATTACAGTCCCATAATTTCAAAAAGTGCTTGTATTGCAAAATCATCCCACTGGGGCTTCTTAAATGTTCATTCATATTTTTAAAACCATAATTAAAGTAAAGCAGAACTATTTGTACAAACAGGGGAAGCCCACCATTTGATGGAAAATGTTTCCAGATCAAAAATAGAGCAGCAGCTTTCCAAGTCAGGATTGGAGGGGGAGGAGGAGGAAGAGGAAGAGGAGGGGGAGGAGTGGGTTATTCAAGTAAAATGGGGAACTGGGCAGCATATAAATTTGTTATGGCTGGTTTCCCAGTCAGTCAGATGTTTAGGCTGGTTTTCCCATTTCTGGCCATCTTTAGTGTCTTTCCTAAGGACCTGAGATTGGAAAATGTTGTTTAACAATATTGAAGGTATCATTGCAAAAAAGAACTGGAGAAAATCACAAAATTCAAACACCTGCAAATAGAAGTAGAAGGGATGTGGCAAAAGAAAGCAAAGATAATTACCAATCACAATAATAATAAAACCCCACCTCGGATGAAATCCCAAAACAACTGGCACACCACCTGAACACCACTGATGGCATCGACAAAGTCACCATCGGTCAATTGCAAAAGGCAGCTTTATTTGGAATAGCTTACATCCTGAGTCAATACTTTTAACACCATCAAACACCAACACCTGCCTATCCCAGGGATTAGGCCTCGATAGGTGGATAAAAATGCCAAATCCAATTTAAACAGCTGGCTGGCTGTGTGAAGAAATATAATATTTTAAACTGGAGTTCTTCTTAGCATGGGGATGACATGCCAACATAGGCCTTTGTACCCTTAGGAAAGTGGGAGTTTATTTCTTGATACAGCTAATATGAATTCATATCAATAGGTCTTTACTTACCATGAGGCTCTTTGGCAAATTTCTGTTCCATTTAAATAGCAGTAGCACCATATGGCTCAATTTAAGATTTGAATAAAAAAAATGCAGAAAGAAGAGGAAGGCAGAAAAAGATAACAGAAGGAGCGGGGGAGAGAGAGACAAGCAATTGTTCGAGGGCCAAGAATCCAGAAGTTGTTTCTATTTTGGCTATTTCCAGGAGTTTTGGCAGCTCTCCGCAGACTTGGCCGAGAGCGTAACATTGTTGACCTTTTCTCGTGGGGGCCTCATCCCCAGATATCACACGCTGCAAATAGGAAACCGAAAACACAGCAAGATTTCTTGGCACGGTAGGTGGCAGAAACACAGAACTATGGCTTGAGTTACAGTGGTATATTTTGTAAAAGGTAATAATCCCAAAGAATCACAAAAAGAGAAAATCAATCTAACTGTTGTAGAAGAACCTGAAAGAGAAAAAGGGATCAGGACCAAGGAGAGCGCTCCTGCAACTGAAGGAAAGACAAGTTACTCCGGAACTACAAGGAAAAGTGGCTGATTTTTATCTTCCTCTGTCCCTCCCCCTTCTTACTGCTTTCCTTCCCATCCCCCCTAGCTGCCATTCTTCCCTTTCCTCTTTCCCCCTCCCTCCCTCCTTACCATTTCCTCCTCCTTTCCTTCCTTCCTCACCACCCCCCTTGCTGCCATACTTCCTGCCCTGCCCCTCCCTCCTTCCCTCCCTCCCTTTCTGAAAATCCTGCAAAGCCCTATTGAGAAGGATACTATTTGAGGTTGGGGGATGCATTTGAGATCTCTAATATCCATGAAGCTATGTAACCCCCCACCCCCCCGCCCCCAGATTAATTCCTGCTCTTCCTTATATCTGCTGTCTTCGGTGTTCAAAAACCACTGTTTTAAGACTTTCCAGGTTAGGTTATTCAGCTGTAAGGTTATGTTATGGCTCCCGGACAAGATTCCATAGGTGGGTCATAAGGTGACTTGAATTCTTATCTCCTAGATCAGAGATAAGATCACTGGGCTGGAAGGGGAGATTTGGATACCTGACCCTACAATTCAGACTCTGCAGCTGTTGCTTTCCCAGAGCAGGAAATTAAGATGGGAACGCTTACTATCCACACCGATGCCCCTTATTCCAGAATTAATGTGAGATACGTCATTATGTTTCCTGGTGGCTTGAAACTCAGCTTTCTGCAAATCAACTGTATAAGCAGAACACACCCTATACATTTGGACAGCATTTTATTGCCAGGAGTTTTGATTAGAGAAATATTTAGACATTTGGGCTGCCTATGCTAGTTTGCATGATTAATGCTGAGGGTATTCATAATGTTAAAATAACCCAATTTAAATGTGAACAACTGAATTGCTTAGCATAGGAATACATTTGTTAAAGTAGCTTTGATTAGTTTGTGTGAGAGATGTAGTTTTCCTTTCTCTTGCACTCTTATTTTCATTTTTGTACATTAGCAACCCATTATGCTGCACTATACGCTTGCATCAACCATTTACAATAGTTCTTGCCATGGTTATAATAATAATTTTTACAAATTAATAGATTTCTGCATAGACTGGGTGCCTTCTCTTCAAAATCTAGGTTTTTTTTAAAGGAACAAAATATATTTCATGTAGGAATAATCATACAAGGCTGCTAAAGTCAGATTTGTTCGTGGATTGAAGACCATTTCAAATGACAAGTTAGGTGCTTTAGATTAATCCTTTTTTTAATATGTGTCCCCAGCTGTTTCCAAGAATTGGGTCTCAAGTTACACAGCACAGCATGAACAGTATTGCACCTCCATTTTTGCTGTTCCTCCATCATCATGCACAAATTGAAGAGGCATGCACCATTTCTTTTGATCCTGAGTAATGCAAGATCTCTATCTAATCTATACTCTACAGATGGAGATAGAATTTCTAAATGTACTCAGAAAAAAATGCATGAGTTTGATCTTTACAGGATGTAGCATCTAGAAATCCCATTCCACTCTATGCAACCTTGCTCAAAATTATGCCCAGTTTTTTCAAGTGCTTAGAGTACATGAGATGATAGTGCCAGAACACACTAGGGGAGATGGGATGTACACCAGGTCAGGGGTGTCAAACTCAAGGCCCGAGGGCCGGATCTGGCCCATGGGGTACTTAGATCTAGCCTGCGTGGCCACCTGTTGTGGTTTGCTGGCATCAGGTGAGGATGGCCGAGGTCTCAGAGAGCGAGGACTCAGATGAGGGGCCTGTGTGTGATGCAGGGATGGGGCCAGGACCATCAGGGAATGAAATGCTGCCTTCGGAGGCTGGCAGCAGTGATGAAGAGGCCCCCGAGGAGTCCGTGCCCAGTGCGCGTGCGTGCAGGGATACTCGAAGGGAAAGAGCAGCTGCAGCAGCACGGGTGACTTGGGAGTAAGGCTACAAGGTAATGGCCTCTCCCTTAAGAGATAAAAGCCAGCTGAGAAACTGGAGTTCTTTGCAGGAAGCAAAGAAGTTTTCGCACTCAAGCCTTGTGGACATTGGGAATATCTTGGTTTGTGTTTGGAGACTCTTTGGGTTTG